CCTCAAGCATTTAGTCATTAATTCCTCATTCTTCTTCTACAAGTCTTTATTCTCTCCTCCTCTTTAAAAATATTTCTCCATATTATTAAGGCTTTTTTAAGGATTTGGAATTTCAATAGAGAATCACGTTTTCAGCAATTTTGTTTTCCACGTTCATCTTCAAAAGGTGAGATGCTCAGTGCTATTAGTGGTTTGTCCACATCTTTTCAAATACGTTGTTATGTATGGATTTAATTACTTCAGTTCAGAGCTCCTTTGGGAGAAATTATGATACAGTTTAAGGCACAATTTAGCCTTCACGTTATTTGCAGCGCTTGCTTGAATTATCATTTGTCATGGTGTGATAATTCTCATGTTATGTTGGTAAGAGAATTTATGCATAATTTCACGTTTGATTTGAATGTGGAGTAGCAAGCACCTCATTGAGTATAATTCGTTATACTCATCCCTCTCTATTTACAATTTTCAGGTAGAAATTAGTATGCTGGACGGCGGTGGATGGATGCATATTGGACCAATGGATCTCCATCATGAAGTACTTTAATTTTTAGAAACACTAGAATATTTATTAACGGTTGATTATTATTATTTTTAAATTTAGACTCAATTGTGAGTCACGTCATAACTTTCAATTAGTCCTATTTTTATTATTTGTTAGAACTACTTTTATTAATGTTTGATAAAAGATATGATTCCAAATTGTTCCGCATATGTTATTTAATTTAATTTACCTTTTGTTAAGGTTGTTCAATTTTTACTGAATTCCTCGTTATATTAAAATGTATTTGCCTCAAGCACTTTATTAATCAATTCACGTTTGGTAACGTTCCGGGTTGCTAGAGAATTCGGGGCGTTACAAGTTTATGGTTTCAATGTTAGCAAAGTGAAGGGGCAAGTTAGCTTGAAAAATCTCATGTTATGGTTGTTTTCTTTTGGATTATCATATTTAATAACTAGCTTGAGTTACAACTTATGAAAATGTGGAGAAGTAAAGAAAAGTTCATGCTGAGGCCTGAGATCATCCATCAAAATCGGCAAACAATATTGGCCACAATCTCTAGGAAACACTATACAGCCATACATGGAACTATCAAAAATCTATTCTCGAAAACTACATTGAGCTCTAATCACTAATCAGTAAACTAAACACTACATAAATCCACATAGACCTACTGACCTAACATTCCATAAAAATAATATTGGACACAGACCCACATAAGCTGAAAAAATAAATAAATAATAATAAATAAAAAAGGACAGTTTAACACCTAAAAAATTGTAGCTGATACATTTCAAACCTTTTAATAAATAAATATGCGTTCGAAGGACCTCTAGATGATTTCTATCCAAAATGACTGTTAAGTGACCAAGAATCAACCGTTTCATCATTTTTAAAATGAACAAACTTATATTTTTCTACATAAAACAATTAAATTGATTAAGTCGTTGATGATTTAAATAAGCATCTGATTTCTAGTATATTTTTTATTAAAATTGATAGAATGTACGATTAAAAAGTTGTGAATCCATAAAATATTCGATTAATTGTTTACTAATTTTAATCAATTATGTTTAGGCTTTCGCTGAACAAAACATGAAATAAATAAAAAGAAATAAAAAATGAGGAGAAAATGAGAGAGATAGATATTAATTCCTCGCCCACCTCCCAACCCGCACTCCCAACCAACACCCACCACACCCACTCAGATATAATGGTATCTGACAAGATTCAATGCTCTTTATCTTTAATTAATTTGTAAAGAAATAGAACAAAAAAGAAAATTTTCAACAGCTCACAGATCCACATAAGTTGAAAAAATAATAATAAATAAATAAATAATTCTATTCTAGAAAAACACATTTGTGATAATCAG